GGTTCCGTCAGAGCTGCGCTCTCCCTTCAGGTTCTGCCGGCTCCAGCCCCGCTGTCCTCGGGCCAGGGTCGCCGCTGTCCCTCCGGCGAGGCTCGGCGGCGGCGGCGGCCCCGCGGCGGGGCTTTGGAGCCCTGCGCTCTGTGCAGTTATTGGACGGGACTCTGTGTGCCGCTGTCGGCCAATGATGGAGCGGGGGGGAACTGGCGGCCCGGCCCCGCTCGGAGCCGGGATGAGGCGCAGACGGTCTCAGAGAGACTCTGGGAGTGAGTCACCGCCGAGCCCGCCGAGCAATGCCCGGCTCCCCGCCGCCGCTTCCCGGGGCCGCTGGGCAGCGGCATGACGGGGAGAGCTGAGGATTTCTAGCCGGGGCGGGGGGGCGAAGCGGAGAGCGCGGCCGTCCTGTGCGATGAACGGCGTTGCTGTAAGGAGCCGCGGGGTGACGACGGGGCAGGTACTGAGCCTCTTGCTTTTGTTCGGCGTCTCCGACTGGGTTTCTGCCGCGATTCGCTATGCGATTCCCGAGGAGGCGCGGAGGGGCTCCGCGGTGGGGAATGTGGTAGCCGACCTCTCGCTGGATCTGGGGCGGCTGCCGGGACGCCGATTGCGGGTGGTGTCCGGCGGCAACAAGAAGTACTTCGGGGTGGATCTGACGAGCGGAGCGCTGCTGGTGAACGAGCGGATAGACCGGGAGGAGCTCTGTGGCGCGCTCTCTCCCTGCTCCGTCAGCTTTGAGATCGTGGTGGAAAACCCACTGGAGCTGTACAGCGGCACCGTAGAGATCCAGGACATCAATGACAACGATCCGGTTTTTCCCAGCAGCCAGGCGAGGCTGGAAATCAGTGAGTCTGTGGCGGCAGGAGCGCGCTTCCCGCTAGAGAGCGCGCAAGACCCCGATGTGGGAATTAACTCTTTGCAGACCTACCAGCTCAGCGCCAACCCGAACTTTGCTCTCGACGTGCAGACGAGGGTGGATGGCAGCAAGTACGCGGAACTGGTGCTAGAGAAGGAGTTGGACAGGGAGGAGCAGCGGGAGCTGAATTTGGTCTTGACTGCGCTGGATGGAGGGAGCCCACCACGGTCGGCCCATGTGCAGATCCACATTGACGTTGTAGATGCCAACGATAACACCCCGGTCTTCAACCAGTCCACCTATAAGGCAAGTGTGAGGGAGAACACCCCCAGCGGAACCCTGGTGGCCAGGATCAGTGCATATGATCTGGATGATGGGCCCAATGGAGACATCGTCTATTCCTTCAGCAGCCACACCCCCGCCAAGGTACGGGAACTCTTTGCTCTGGACTCGGCCACAGGGGAGTTGAGGGTCAAGGGACAGCTGGACTATGAGGAAGCGAAGCTGTATGAGATTTACTTACAGGCTAAAGACAAGGGAGTCGTTCCTGGTGTGGCTCATTGCAAAGTGCTGGTGGAAGTTGTGGATGTGAATGACAATGCTCCAGAGGTGACAGTGACTTCTGTGTACAGCCCTGTGCCTGAAGATGCAGCTCCAGGGACAGTCGTAGCTCTGCTGAGTGTAACAGACTCGGACTCCCATGACAACGGCCAGGTGAACTGCTTCATTTCCCCTGGGATCCCATTCATGCTGAGTTCCTCACTCAAAAATTACTACACACTTAAAACAGAAGGAGCTCTGGACCGGGAAAAGGCATCGGAGTATAACATCACTATCACAGCCAGGGACTCAGGCTCACCACCTCTGTCAGCAGTAAAACACATCCTGGTGCAGGTGTCAGATGTCAATGACAACGCACCCAAGTCTTCCCAGGACTCCTATGATGTGTATGTTCTGGAGAACAATATGCCTGGCATTCCCATCCTTAATGTCAGCGCCACAGATCCAGACCTTGGGCGCAATGCCCACCTCTCCTATACCCTTTTGCAGGGTGACCCCACTGTAGGCCACCTCTTCTCCATCAACCGGGAGAACGGCACCCTCTATCTGCTCACCTCCCTGGACCATGAGGACCAGGTGGAGTTCAGCATGATGGTACAGGTCCAGGACGGCGGCTTTCCGCCTCTGGCCACCAATGTCTCAGTCAGTGTGTTTGTCACTGACGTCAATGACAATGCCCCAACTGTGCTGTACCCCCACCCCAACAGCACCACCACCTATCCCGATGTGGTGGCCCCCGGCACTCCTGCGGGGCACATGGTCACCAAGGTGGTGGCGGTGGATGCAGATGCAGGGTACAATGCCTGGATCTCCTATACCCTGTTGCAGGCCACTGACCCCAGCCTCTTCTCAGTTGGGCTGCACAATGGGGACATCTTCACGGCCCGCCAGCTCCGCGAGGACGACGCTCCCCAGCACACATTAGTCATCCTGCTGAAAGACCATGGGGAGCCTGTGCTGTCCACCACTGCCACTGTCTCCATCTCTGTGGCCGAGATGGCCAAGGAGGTTCTCACTGACCTCACTGATGTGGCACCTGCCAATGATCCCAGGAAACACGTGACTTTCTATCTCATCCTGGCTGTGATTCTGGTCTCAGCAGCCTTCTTCATCACCATGTTGTCTCTGGGCATCTTCAAGTGCTACAAGTGGAGGCAGTCAAAGGAGTTGTTCAACAGCTCCAGGAGTACCACATACAGGACACCAGGGCCCTTCCACCACATCGACGCTGTGCGGGGTGGCTTCACGCCACCCAACTTCTACCACCAGGTCTATCTCACCACAGATTCTCGCCAGAGTGATCTCCTGTGTAAAAAGCCCTTCACTTCCAGCCCCTTGGGGAGCCGTCAGAGCACCATACGGAACGGTGAGCCAGGCCTGTACCACCAGATCGTGGGCACTGCCAGCCGGCTCCCTGCACCTGCTGAGGTAATGTAGCCCCTTCCTTGGCACGTCCCTGCGCCGGGCAGTGCCACGGTTTGTTTGTGCCATACGCGTTTGGTAGCGGGTTGGGGTTGGGAAGGATGTCCAGTTGCGCCGTGCCTCTGAAGAGTGGTCAGCTGTGGCTGAACAGATCTTCTTTGGAGTCAGATGAGCTGTCCTGAGTGTCAATGACATTTGCACTGTGCTGAGCAGGATCAAGTGAGTCAGTTTGCTCGGGCTGGCAAACATACGTCTTTTGGATGAAGTTTTGTGTACGCCTTGTGTGAGTAACCAGTGGAGCCTGAGGTCAGCTTGCAATCACTTGTAAATCCTTGGCACAAAGTTTGTTGCTGATGGTATTTCCTTCTCTTTGCAGTAGGAGAGCTGAGAGGAGCACTTGCAGTGGGTGGGAACACAGTCTCTGTGTGTCGTGCCCTGGTGGGGACTGAAGAGGTGGTGGTGCAAATGGGGCTGGGAACCACCAGCTGCCAGTGGGGGACCCGGGTGTCACTGCCCACAGTGTAGCACACAAAGCTGAAGGATGATGCTGGTTCCTCTGTGTGACAGATTGAAGCCACAGAGCATCCCTCCCATCTGTGCTGCTCCTCATGTTTGACTCCTGATGCTTCTGGTTTCGTTTCCATGGTAGCTCTGTGATGGTGTTCGCTTCAGGGTGGAGGGGTGGGACTGCAGACTGTCCCAGTTGCTTGCAGGGCTCCACTGAGCTGGACTGTGGCTCTGAGCAGGATGGTGTGTCCTCCACTCAGATGTTGTTCAGAAACCTTATTATAAGCTCTGCATGGTTTGTAATATGGTACCTCTGGGTGATGTCCGATGTCCTGACTGAGCAAACTGCAGGCAGGAAGGCATTTGCGCATGGCAGGCAGCTCCTGTGCTTCTTCCCTGGTGGGAATTCTGCAGCTTAATTTGAAAGCTTTCAATTACAGGAATGCTTCAGTCCTCGGTGGTGAGGCCAGATAGTGGATCCAGTGGATGGGAAGGGGTGGTGGATCTGACGGGTTTCCAAGGTGGGTGATGCTGGTAATTTGTCCTTGCTGGGAGGCTGTGAGTGAGAGCGACCGGTTCCTCAGAGCAGAAGGAAGTGAGGTGCAGCGGAAGCTGTGCACGGGTGTGAGGCTGCGTGTGCCGCCTGCTCAGTGTGGCCAAATCACAGACGGAGGCAGAAACGTCTCAGAATTATTTTATGCCTTTTTTTTTTTTTTTTTTTCCCCTGCTTGCGTCACTGTTCAAACTCAGCACTTCTGGTTTCTGGCAGGTAGGAATGAATGGATGCAGCAGCTGCAGGAGCAAGTGTTCCTCTGCACTGTGCAGGCTGTGCTAAGGTTGGGGACAAGGATGTCCCCTCAACCAAAGGATCTTGGTAAGATGCCTCTGGGGGTGGGGGCAGTAAATTGTTTGAGAGTGGGGTGGAAGGAGGTGATACCAGGCAGGCAGTAAGCCTGAGCCCTAGCCATGACTTCCTCATACTCCCCAGTACTACACTGGAAAGGCACTGGCAGTGAGAAATCAGCTGGGCTGGCACTGAGCCCTGGATTTGCAGTATTTGTGGTGACAACAGACCTTGTCAAGACTGCACAGGCTTTACACCTCTTTGCTCTGCAGGCACAGCCAGCCCCCAGAACTGATGCAGTGGGGAGGGTGTTGGCCCTGTCTTTAGCAGGTGGTGTGTCCTACCATGAGGGATCCTTCTCTACAGGACCTCCGGTGATCCCTGGGTTGTCTGGGTTGGAGCCCTTCCATAGAGCGAGCTCTGGCCCTATGGAATGGGGAATATTTCCTTGTCCATCCTAGACACCCCATACCCCTCCCAGACACCCCATACCCTTTCTGCCTTGTCACTGTCCCTATCCCAGGCTTTGGCAGACTCAAGCAACAGCAGAATCCCCTGTGCAAAGCCCTTGCTCCAGCTCCTTGGTGATTGAGCCATCTTGGGACACTGAGTGGATTCTCCCAGACCATGTGGAATTCACAGAGGGCTTCTGCTGAGGCACTGCAGCAGCACCAAACCCACTGCCAGGGGCACAGCACCTTGTATTGCCAGCAGCATTGTCTGTCACCCAGCTGTGCTGTCTGGGGTCCTGCCTGGGATGGGGACAGGGCCCATTTCAGAGTCAAGGTTACTGTGACAGCTTCTTGCTGGTGGCACTGCCAGATAGACCCCCAAAATAAGTACGTCCACACAGGTATTGTCTCTATATACCTTTATTGGTGTCTGTAGATCCCCGTGGAATCTTTTCTTAAAGAGCCAATGCAGCGTTTTGCTGCACTGGCTCTTTAAGGAAGCCTTCTCCCCTCCTCCGGAGCGGGCAGTAGGAGGGACCCGCGCAGTGTTCTCGCCAGTCTTTGCTGTGTCCCTCCCTGACTGGCAGCAGGGTGGTCCCTCCCCGCGGCTCTTGGAATAGGCAGAGAGGTG